ATTTTCGGGAACAACGTAGGACAGGTTAAATTTCATACGAGATAGCAGCATAACTGCCTACCTCTAGTCAAATTAGTTCATTTTTAATAATTATAGCCTTTACATAGCCCAAGAATTTGGCATATCATTTGGTGTGTTTATTATATAATGGGCTATGGTTGTTGATGTTTATACATAATATGTCTGAACACACGGTTAGAAAAATGTGTGATCACAAGCAATACTAAGATGCTAGCGGAACAACTCTGAACACAAACTGATGTAGCATGCACACAATTTGGGACTTCTCTCCTTGTCACTTGTTATGCGAAACGTTGCTCGTTAAGCGAGTAATTTTTTTACAGTTTGTTTTTCTTGTTACATGAATTACTTGTTATGAGAGGTGCTTGTTAAGCAAGGTTCTGCTGTATTTAAAATAAGGTTAGTAGTGTTATTGAATTGATAGGAATTTTTATGTAAATGAAAAAAGAAAATAAATTACACAAAAATATCTTTGATTTTAAAGATCTAATAAATTGTTTTCTTTTTGTAAGTGTAAAGAACAAAAATATTAAGCATTGCATTTACTTATATATTTAATACAGTTTTTACTTAGGAGTAAAATAATTGTTTGTATGTAAACTGTATTATAAAATTTAAATTATAGTATTTAAATGCAAAAACAATGTAAAAAAACCAGAATTGTATTTTCTTAAAAAAAATAGCTCTAACATAATTAGGAAAGTAAATCTGAATTTTTGAATATTCACTTATCTGTTCATATATCACTATAAACAGATAAGTGAATTTAGACAAGGGTTTGCAGTATTTTTGACCAGCTGATGGAAAGAAGACCTGCAAAAATTAGCAATGAGAAATTTGAACTATGCAAGAAAATTTTGAATTGCAAATGTCAAATGAAAGCAAGTGAACTTGCCAATCTGCTTGCATACATTAGTAAGGAATCTATCTATGCCATTAGACAGGAAATAGGAGTTCAGAAGCTCTATTCCTATTTTGTTTCAAAGTTTCTTAGTATGGAAATGTGTGAGTATCATTTTCAGTGTTGCTTTTCCAATTGGAACTGCTTGATAAATGGGGTAATAAATTCATCAAAAACATTGTTACTGAAGACTAAATATGAATTTGTGGTCCTAAGAGTAAGTTTATTTCCACAGAATATTTTCAGATGAACCAACATCTTAAACTCCAAAGTGGAATGTGTCATAAGCAAGCATCTATGCATACTGTATTCTTGGATCACAAAGGAGTCATCAAGAGTGATTTCCTTGGCAAAGATAACACAATGAACAGCACCTGCTATTTAGAACTGATGAGATTGCAAACTGCAATGGGAATCAGAAAGAGTACCTCCTTTTTCCTTCAATGCAGCTGTTCACACCAAGCCACAAAAGTGACTAATTTCTAACTTAATAGTAACTACCAATCAGTATAATGCTGTTGACATATAAGAAAAAAGAGAAATATATAGAAAAATGATAAATAGGAGAAATATATAATAACCACTAAAATATGGAAAAATGTTACATAGAATTAGTACAATTTGCTTCAGAAATTGGTGGAGAAATCAATTTGACTTATTATATTTGACTTAAGTTTGAGATATGTAGTAAAACATATTAGCAAGAAAAACAAAATATAACTTGGTTCATTTATGACTTTAACTACAGATATAAGTAAACACTCCATGGTTTACTTATATCTGTGTTTACTTACAGGGTTATACAGGGTTTACTTATGTGTTGTAACATATATCTGGGGTTTAAAGTTTTAAATGATGACTATTAAAAGTTGATTTGAATTTTAAAAAGTTTCAAAAAAATGTGAATTAAATTAAATGAAATTTTATATGAAGTATCTGTAATATAATGTAGTAAAAGATACAAAGGTTGGTAATTTAATAGTGGCATCAATATTATAGAAATACAACACAAGCTAATGCTGCCTAGACCAGACATTGGTTACATACATAACTTATTTCAGAGCAAATGAACTTTACCATCCCACTATATGCACCTGTACAGTGATGAGAAGAGCAAGATCTGTTGCTAGCAATAGACATTGCTCTTCTCCCAGTCTGCTATAATTATCTTGAAATTGGAGCAGCAAAATTGGATAAAGATTGAAAATACCAGATGATGTACTGCATGACAATCTCACCAAGTACTCTTAGAGGCTTGAAGGGAATTGCATTACCATATAGAACATAACAAAATAGGTAAAAAGTCTTCAATGCAGAATACAAAAATTTGAATGACCAGTCTTGGCTAGGTCATACTGTGCAAGTGAATACTGTTTTTGCATTATTGGAGATTGATTAGTGCCAGACAGTTTGTAAGTTAGCTGAAGATAGAGAATTGTCACATATAACTGCACTAGACATTGTGAAGAAATCCCTGTGAATGCAGAAAATTTTGTCATGACAGGTTTCACAAGCTTTAACTGAAATGGCAACAATACAATATTGCTGTTATCCACTGAGTGTTACAAGCAAGGAGAGGCTTTTTTTACATCATATCATTCATTTGATGAGACATGAGTGAGATCATTCAAGTCAGAACTGAAATAGCAATCGAATGAGTAGCATCATCATGGTTTACCACAAAAGTCAAAATTTTGTCAGAACTCCAGTTAGTTAATGTGAAAGTTAGTTTTTCTCATCTATGATAGGTATTAACATGATGCATGCCATATCACCAGACCATTAATTGCAGTATTTCTTTGTTTTTGGAACACACTGTTGCAAGCTTTGAGAAAAAGTGGAAATGCTCTACAGGACCCATCCATCATTTTGTGATAATGCTTGAGCACATGTTGCACAACTTATGGTCATGTTGTTCTGTCAATAGGCCTGGAAATACAGTACTCTACCATCCACTGTATGTTCCAGAAGTAAATCCTTGTGACTTTGACTTGATTCTTAACATGAAGGAATCACTGCACAGAAGGCAGTTCAGAACTACTCCAGATATTCTTTAGGCAGTAGAATGTTCTATTTGAGTAATCAATCAAATAGGCTCTGCCAATGGCATCCTACAACTTCCACATTACTGTCAATGGGTCTTACACATTGCCAGTGACTGCATTGAAAGACTGTAAAAATCTGAAACATGTATGGGTTTTTTTGTATTTGTAATTGCAGAGTTGCCAGTACTAAAATTCCGACCTTCATACATAAAGAAATAAAGTAGCCAACTTATTGAAAAAATGTGCTAACAGTTGTAGCAAAACTTAGATAAATACCATTAATCTGTATATATTAGCACTATAAAAAAAAAGGCGTGATTAATTAGTATGAATATATAACATTACATAGTTATGATGTACTATGATTAAGTAAGATAATTGACATATATTAGTATACAGGTAATAGTATACGCACTTAAATGCTTTAGAAATATGTTTTGAATTTTTATCTAAAATGCTGAAAGAGTGATTAAACCCTTTGTTTAAAATTTCAGAAGTAAGGAAATATATTTTGATCAGATTTAATATATTAAGTAATGTCATTAAGTAACAAATTAATTTTCTTCACTTTTAATCTTGTATTAATGATTTTTATAATTTTTGGTTAAATTATACTTAAAACAAGTAATATATATAATAATTTAATTTTTTCAATATGATATTAAATATATGCAGGGGCTGTCAGATAGACTGTAGCCAGATTATGTTATAACTCATCATCTGTGTTATTGTCTAGATTGACATGGTCTTTCTTAAAGTAATCATCATTAACTAAAATACACTTGTTCCATCTTTTCTGCCACTCTTCAAATAGTGAGAGAAGCCATCTTTAGATTCGTCAAAACCATGTTTATCTTTTGACAACAGCTTTTGTGGTTAGAAAACACTGTCCACATAATGGTTTCTTCAATGATGGAAATATGAACAAGTCAAGTTGGTGTGTAGCAGATGTGGAAGACAAGTCATGTTAATTTTTGTATCCATGTTAATTGAGTATAAATGTGGCCCTGCCTGCCATTGACAAATAGTCAATGGCAGGCAGGGCCACATTGATACTCTACTATGATAATGTTTGTCCTCATCTAGTTTTATGCAAGTGTGGTCAGTCCCTATGGATGTGCTGGTTCAATTTCTTGATGATAGTCATATAATGGTGCCAGTGACAGTTGTTTGTAGTGGTATAACATGCTGGTACAAATACTGTGACAATCAAAAATGTGATGATCATGGTTTTGCCAGCAGATGGGACAAGTCTGGCCTTTTTGGGAGTTGAGGATGATGGTGATTTCCACATGGAATTTTGTTGCTTTGATTCTGGATCATAATGGTGAATCCATGATTTATCACCCTTCCTGGAAGTCTTTAAACCATCGAAATGCGAAAGATTGGGGCATAACTTCTTCTCCATATGCCTCCAACAATATTTCATAGGTTTCAGTGGTCATTTACTTAAGTTGAACACAGAATTTAGCAAAGCATATTGCTCATCTCATTGCCATCTTGTTGCTGATAGGCAAAAATGGAAATTGCATAATTTAATGTCATTACTCTGTAACTAATCAATACAGATATTTTGAACTTTGCACACTTGCTGTCAAAAGACTGTTTTAAATCTGCTATTTTGATATGATAAACTATGATTTTGACATAGTTTGTACTGTTTTCAAGATATGGTGTGTGTGTCTTTATCTGACAGCTCTTGTATATATAGATTTCTTTTAACTATTAAATTTGGCATGAAAAATCTTCTTAATGAGATAAAACATATAGAATTGATTTCATTTACTTACAAATTATTATTATTTTCATTATTAAATTTAAAGTTAAAAAATAATGCTTGCAGAATAAATAAAAATTTCAATTATAAATTGTTAATTTCCATTTTAAATTAACATATAATTTGAATTTTTGTTTATTATATTGAATATTGATTTGAATAATTAACAGTAAAGATTGAAATTTTTATATAATATACATGTATAAAAACATTTTACACACATTAATTGATGTATGTAATTTTATAAATTTTATAGCAAAAGATCAAATTTCATTACCAGGCTAAATGTTGAAAGGAGGCAAGCCTTACTTACTAGACTTACATATTTAGCAGAGGTAAGTTGTTAATAATTTAATAAAGCAATGTGGTAAGGGTATATTCAAATTTTTAAAATTTTAATTAATACTGTAAAAGGGAGTGAATTATTAAATCATATTCAATTGTATTGTATTTTATACAGTAAAATTTCACTTACATAGCCAGTATATAATTGGAGTATACTGGCTATGTGAGTGAGTATACAATTTACAATTATAAGTGAAGTAGTCATCTAGGTGGAGTTGCAAAAAAGGTTGAGAATTGTAATTATTGTACTGAGTTTTGCTAAAAGTTTAATACAGATTATAAAAGTACTCTGGAAATAAAAAATTCATAAAATACTGAGCATGCTTTGCCATCTAAATTAATTCAAATTTTTATTCAGAGTAATGTATTAACACTGAATAATAGATTATTGATATACATGATATATATATATATACCATGAATGCAAACTGTTTGCAGTAGGATTTATTCAAGTATTGTACATCACAGTACTAAATGGAATTGTTTAGTACCCATATACTGAATGAAGTGGTAAGAAGGATTTTATTTATGTTAAATATTGTATTTTATGAGGAGAATTCAGAAGTTATTAAACAGAATTCACTAAATGTACAGATTACAAATGTCAAAAAAAGTGTTAATAACTAAACTTGCTTTTACTTCAAGTTCATAGTATTTTTCTTATGAGTGTTACAAGTGACCTACATGTTTATATTTTTACAAAATACAATCAAATTTTTGTATAAAATTATTGAATAAATATTTGTCTTGTTTACTAAATTCCAGATATAAATTTAATTTGTTGAGGTTTAAAAAATAATACAAAGAAGTTTAATTCCATTTAAAACTCAAACAATATGTTAAGTTTAGGAATGCAGGATTTTCCTGTTGGGAATTTTAGTGGTGATAAATGTCACTTCAGGACACGCCTGTCTTTGCTGTTTAAATGAGATGACACCAATATGGAATTTGATTTATATTAAACTTTATGCATTTTACAAGAAAATTTCAGGGTAACCATGTAACTGAGATGCCACAAAACAAGGTTCTACTGTGTTTGAATTTTGCATATTGATTTATATTAGACATTTGCAAAATTAAAATTTATAATATAAATTTTAATTTTGCAAATGTCTAATATAAATCTATATGCAAATATGCAAATGTCTATAATATAATATATTTAATTGAAAGTAGAATTCTGTTAATGAATTTTTATAATTCCTTGATTTTTATTTTAATTAAAAATTTTTATACAATATACTAGTAATAATTTTTTTAGGAATGAAAAAATGGTATAATGAAATTGGATATTCTCGAACTATATTTAAAAATGATGTTATTTAAAATATCCAATTTTGTTACACTTTTTTTTTCATTTTGAAGAAGAAAAGCCAGCATGAGCAATTATCTGCCTAGAAAAAAAAATAATTTTTTATATATAGGATTATATATTAAGAATGTTATATATACATATAGGATTTACTATATATGAATTAGGGAAACAATAATAAAACAAGAGTTTTATTGTTTCCTTAATTCTACTTTAAAAATGTAGTTGTAAAAATATGATGATAGATGATTTGTACTACTTAATACTTAATCAAAACATCTCAGTGAGAACAATTAATTTTTTGGACATTATTTCAAATGTCGCAACTCTTGGATTTTATTATTTTATATAGCAATTAATAAATTTTATAATTTTTATAAATTATCATTTTTTTATCTTCTTATTTATAAATAAAGAATTGCCTGAAACTTATGTACTTGTTCCTCTTATGTTGTATTTGCTTTTCTAATTTTGTATTAGTTTTTGTTAATTAGATTATTTAGTGATGTAAAATTTTTCTTTATTTTGTTTAATTTAGAGTTATTACTGAGGAGATTTTTAATAATACATATATCCTATAATTTAGAATTTAATTTTAGGTTTGATTGAAAACAAGAATTTATTTTTCTGTATGCTTTAACATTATAATAATTAAATTATAATCAACTAATGTTTTTCAGAGTTGGGGAGGCAAAGAAAATGGTTTTGGTCTTGCTGAGTGCTGTCAAAACCTTCCCATCAGTGTAAGTTTTGATTTAGTTACAGTTTTATTGTTTGTTAATAAAAGTTAATATTAGTAAACATCAAAACACATCAAAATCAGAATATTTGTTGTTTTTTGTAATGTAATATTTCAATAATTTACAAAATTTTTATCTTAAGGAATAAATTATTTTTTTAATCTAAATTCATTGAGTCTTGAAAACATTCAACTGTAAATCTAATAATGTGATCTTGTTATAAATATCATTGGTTATGAAAAAAGTTTTTAGTTTTAATGTACAAGAAATTTTAAAAATACAATAATTTTGTACAAGTTAGTTTCATTCTAAATTTTATAATTATGTAATTTAATTTCAAAATTTTATTTTTTCAATTTACAATAAAATATTCTTTTAGCATTTTCCATCCAGTGCAACAACGCTACACTTTGAATTCTATTTAGAAAATGCTGATGAAAAATCTGTAAAAAGGCATCTTCCAAATACCATGTGTTGCATTCATGTAGAAAATGTTGATCAGGTAAGTTCAGATAAAAAGTTTAAAAATTGAAATTTAAAGTACAGGTAGCCCTTGGTTTACGTCGGCTCAATTTACGCCGCCACGCAATTTGCCGTTTCATGGTGTAATTCCTCGATTTTCCCTATGCCAGACTGATTTCCATTTCAGTGTTGATGTATTTACTGATCTGCAACATTGTACATTCGTTAAAACAAAGATTTTTATTGAATATATTTAGTTTTTCTGTTTAATATTATTGGATATGTATACATTTGCATTAAATTAATATTAAAATACTAAATGTTTAAGTACCCACGAGTCAAGTTATCAAACTTAATAGTCCAATAAATGGCGTCCGAATCCATAGCACCAATGAATGTATCCCGTATCAGTTCGTTCAGGAAAACACCTTACAATGCAGTAGCACTTCCGGCGATCACAAACTATCATTAGTGAGACAAATCTACTTCTCTTTGGCCAGACGATACTTTTTTATTAGCCAGACAATATCTATCTCTCCTTAGCCACCTTCAATTTTCCCGCTCAAACTCGCCTTATACATGCGCTATGGCAACTGGTGGTCAACCAATCAGTGTCTCTGCTCGTTCGTAGCTCTACGTTGGGTTAACATATCCTTTCAACTATGGAAAGTTTGACGGATGAACTTTGTGAGTTAGACAATAATTGGGAGCGAAGTGCAAATGTAAAAAGAAGCATCATCGCATCCATTCGACCATATTCCGAAATTCTCAATGAAAGAAAACAAAAATGTAAACAATTAAAGATGGATACTTTTTTCTGAAAAATGTAAGAGATCCGAAACTAAAATTTTTAAATAAAAACATTTCACTTTATTTTATGATATAAATTTTTAATTTTTAAAATGTATTTTATGTATTTTGTATTATATTGTATTAATAAACAAAATTATTTGCTTATTTTTCACTTATGTAGAACCTAATCCTATACCTCACTGTAAATATGGGTTCGTTTTACGCCAATTCGATTTGCGCTGGCTTTTGTATGAACGGAACTGCGGCATAAACCGAGGGCTACCTGTATGTGTGTGTTGATGATGACACAAATGAAAAATAATAAATAAGTAAAGGATGTGTTGGGATGAACCAGAAAGTTTTTGTGCACTTATAATTGTGCCATAACTTATAATGTTGTGAAATTTGATAATGTGAGATTGTATTTTTTGTTTAGAAGCTTATTTTAAACTTTGCATTTTGTTTGAATAAAATCATGTTTAAATATCTTCAGATAAAAAGCATATGAGGCATATTATGCTTTAAATTTTGAAAATGATATAACACTGTAAAAACAGTAAAAATGTTCATAAGTGTATGGGGATGATGCTCCTAAACTTTGAGCATGTCAAATGTTTAAAAGGTTCCATTCAGAAAATTTTAAACTAAGGATAAAAACATATGGGTGTCCAAAATCTGTCAAAAAAAGAAAAATTGCAGGAAGAAATTGTTAGAAATCAATGAATAACACACTATATAACCACACAAACCAAAAATAAATCAAAACACTGAAAACATATGTGCATAAGACAAGAGCAAGAGATGACTTGGGTGCACAATAGATTGCATTTATGCTTTGAGGGAATTTTTTCCACTGCATGTGCAGTTCAAACTTTGAGGCGTCATTTGAACTCTGAAGTGAAATTTTGTTGAATTTAATATTCAAATTGTGGAGAGTTGCAAGTTAGTCATTTGAAGTACAAGGTATCACTACATATTAAAAAGTTATACTGATAGATACCTAAACTTCTGCACCAGTCAGGCAATTTACATGTTACTTTACATGTCCTATGTACTTAATTTGTTTTGATAACTTTGGGCTTTCTTTTAGTTTTTGTATAGCAACAAACTGAAATTATATGATGCAAATCTGGACTACGTAGACATTACTTCAAAACATTTAAAATAGGTGTAAAATTTTCAGTTGATTATAAATAAATCAGTTTAAACTTTTATAAATGACAGTGTGACTCATTTGGTAGAATACTTCATCTTACTAATAGTTCTTATAATTTTTATATATATAAGCTTATATGACATACTTGTGACAATATAAATCTGATCAAATAACAAGTTGTCAGATAGTTTATTAATCTTTTTATTTAGTTGCTAAGTTAAGATGGATTAGTATTAATGTATGTAATTATGTGATTTTATTTTTTGGAAAATGTGAATTATAATTTCTGAAAATATTACCAAATACAGAGTTCTCTATACAAAAAAATTTCATGAAATATATATTATAATTTCAAGCAATTATCTATTAGTACTTTCATAGCCTGAAAGATTTAATGAATTAAGAAATCTTGCCTCTCACTATAATCTAACTCCATATTTATAAAATGCAATGAATAATAATTAATTATAGTAAAATTACTACAGTTAGGTTTCTTTTATTATAAATTAATGATTTAATAACTAATATATGGAATTTTCAAATTTTTATTGAAATAAATTAATTTTCTGTGATATTTATATTTTAAGATATTAGACAAAAATCCATCACAGATTATGGAAGATCTAATAGAAACTCACTGTGTTGCAGAAAGCAAACAGGTATATAATTTAAATATCTGTGTGTATTGTGTAATATCTATTGATAGAATTGATTTAAAAATCAATTCTATCAATTTATAATTTTCAATTTGATAACTAAAACATTTGTTTTTGTTCTAGATGTTGTTGTTTACACATTTAAGGCTGGCACATAGTTTTTCAGATTACAGTAAAAGATTACAATGTGTTCAAGCTAGACTTCAAGCACTCTCTGTATTAGGTAAATTTATTTATTCTATAATTTATAACTAAATTTAATTTATAATTAAATTTTCACAAATAGTAGCTTTGTAACATATTAAACATAATGCGAGCCACCGGGAGGGAGGAAGAGTCCTCTCCTTCTGGCCACCGGTCTCTGACCTACTTTCTTGTCAAGGATGACGTTACGATCTGTTACGCACTCGGTTACGCGTATGCGAGTGGAAGAGTGTCAGAGGGGTCGACGATAAGAAGCGGCATAGTCGGATAAAGACACCATGAAAAACAAACAAAGAGTTTATTTAACTACTTAACGAACTTAAATTTACAAAACTCTTTCTAATTCGCGTATGAGAGAGAGAGTTTACAATAAAGCGTTCATACCTCTTTCAATTATTTTCGGAGGGCTTTTACTTTCTGGAAGGTTGATCGAGTTGAAATACCAGGTCTTCTGATAAATGTTGTACGGTAGGTCAGAGGGAAGCGATGGTCTGTCTTGGCCGTTTGTCGGCAACTCCCTGTTCAGTCACTCCCCCGAGAGGGGAAGGAGACGGGCTTTTATACCTTTTTGGTGGGAAAATTCGTCAGGTGACCAATTGTCCTAGCAGGTGTGGGGTTAAAGTTGGTGTTAACATGACAACAATCTGATGAATTTTGCCGATACTTATAAACAACACACGGTTTGATCGTGAGAATGTTTATAGTTGAATAGAAAGAGTTAAAATTTTCTCATGTATTTTATATTTCGTTTCTTTAGGGCCAAGTTTCTTAGGTTAAAGGAAATTAACTTTATTAAAAATTTAAAGGGTTAAATGCGTTTATAATTTCGAATTTCACAATAATATCATATTTTGTTCTACAATTTTTACTGAAAATACTATTTGTTTGAGGAAATGTCCATAGTAATTTTTTTCAGTATAATAATCAACAGGTTACAGTTCCTCTACATTGAACAAAAATGACTAAATTCAGCAAATTGAAAAATTTTTAATTTCATAAAAGAACATTTGCTTTAAAAATATTCATGTAATTTTATGTACAAAAATATTAATTGTATAAAAAAAAATAATATACATAATTACAAATTACATTGGGAATAAGATTGATTTTAATTAAAATTGTTTTTCTTTAAAGAAATTGTAATTTAATGTGTATAACCATTTAAAAACTCGACACTTTATATAATGTGGAATTAAAATATATGTTGTTCTAAAACAACAATACATATCACAAACCTTTTTATATACAGAAAATTAATCTCTCAAATTAATATCAGCCTTGTATACTGATTATTATAATGGGATAAATCAATTTTTTGAAAATTCTATTTAGGTCCTCTTTCTTTGTGTAATTTTCTTCTATTTCCACATGTTTATAATTATTTAAATTATATTTTAATCTGGAGTATACATATTTTCTGTAAATTAATGTAATGAATTTTTTATTGCATTGTTTACTTTTAAAAAATGCTTAATTTATGTTGTTAACTTTGAAATTAAAGATGATTCTTTTATTGCTTCTGGTATTGCCTTCCATAAAGTTTATCTACAGAATTGAAATATGATCACCAAATTTTAAACTCGCTATTTATTGAAAATTTAATCTTTCTAATCATTAATAAGTGAATTCTGGAAATCTTGTATGGTTTGTTTATGATGATTAAAATAATTCTCTTTACTTAGACAACATACAAATAATAGATGATATTAAAATAAAAAAATTAGAAGAATGAATTTATAAAATTGTTCTTATAATAATTTTAAATTGCAGTATTTCAGCAAATTTAAATTTTGATAATAAAACATTAGATTTTCTAAATGATATAGAAAACAACTTTAGCTTTTATATTTAATAATTTGAATTTAAAAAGTCAATGTCTTTTGAAATTGAAATTCTTGAATCTATGAATGCAAGCAAGAATAATTTTATTATTAATAATAATAACTAGGAAATTTGTTCATATTTGTTTATGTAAAAAGCGATTCTTATTCAGCTGTTACAATGAATTATCTGTACTTTATTACAGCAATCTGTTATAATTTTGTTTTCTTACAGTTGCCCTTCTACATAGTTCCTTTTGTTATTTGCAAATGCATTTTATCAACTGTATAATGATGTAAAACTTGCTGAGAAATATTTTCTGGAATAGCCTTGCACTCTTGTGACATTTCTTTGAATGGATGGAATATTGTAAAAAAAAAAAAAAATTTAAATTTTAACTTGTATGATGATGTAC